GAGTTCCACAGCTTAATCTACTGGCAGCAAAATAGCCACACTAAGCCTAGCTAGAGCAAAGGCGACCTCAAAGCCCGCCTCCACAGTGACGTACTTCCTCCAACAAGGCCACACCCACCCCAAAAGGCCACACCCCCTAATAGCTCTATTCCCTAAGGACCAAACATTCAAACACAAGAGGCTATGGGGGCCATTCTTCTTCAAACCACCACAATGATGTTTGCCCTGATTTTTTTTTTCTTCCCTCTCCACCAGGAATTTTCTACTTTAATTATGAGGGTTAGCTTGGAGTTTGCCTTCAGCTTTTTAAATGCACTGATGACAGCTAATCCCTTCCGTAAGACACATTTCCAGGAAAGCCTAGAGATAGATGTTTACAGACTGAGCTGGGATAAGAAAAGCCAGTGGCCTTTAACGTGATTGAAGTACTATGTGTCCAAGCCCTGAGAAACAAACACAGCAGAGCCTCGGCATCCGTATTCTGGAATCCCTGCCCACATCTTCAGAGAGTAGAATCACCGTCATACATAAAATATTAAGCCAACTACCTAAAGGAATGAAGTCTATCGACATGGTTAAAGGATATACAGAAATTCAAAATAATCTGAGCAAACTTCTCTAGTGCACCTGAGAAAATGGAGAGGAAAGTGTAGAGAGCTAGGCAGTGCGTATAAATCTGTCTGTGCACACATGCACACCCCAACACACAAACACATGCTCACGCATCAATACGTATCAGTAAGCGGAATCAATGCATTTCTTCAGCGTGTGTATAAAATTGACGATCAGAGAGCGAGGGTGGCCTCCTGATTAACACAATTATGAGAGCTGTTGCTCTCAGCAAAATTGTTAAATGACCTCATAAAGGCTCAGAGAAAAGATAGACCAACATAAGATGCTTCTGTGCCACACAGGATTTCCTCTCCAGTCATCTACGGTCCGCAGTTGCCACATCAAGTATGTATGGGGAAAAGGGTGAGGATGTACTCGGTACATCACCAAATAGAATGTAAGTTGAGTTATGCGGCGGTTTGAATGTGAAATGTCCCTGCTGTAGTCCAATGTGTGAGGAAGACTTGGTACCCAGCTGGTGGTACTGTTTTGGAAGCCTGTAGAACCTTTAGGACTCAGAGTGTCACTAGAGGAATTGTAGCACCGGAAGGCAGGTTTGATGTTTTATAACCAACTGTCTGTTCTCTGATTCCTGACTATAGACACAATGTAAGCATCCCCTCTGCAGCCCCACCATTGTACCTTCCTTGTATGGTAGACTATACGGCCTCAGACTGTATACCAAGATAAACCCATCCTCCCTTACAGTGCTCTTCGTTGGGTATTTGGTAATAACACCAAGTAACGTAAACAGTAAGCCAGGCAAAGAGCCACACACCTTTAAAGCCGACACTCAGGAGACGGAGGCGGGTGGATCTCTGTGATACTGGGCTGATCTATGGGTGGGTTCCAGGACAGCCAGGGCTACAGAGAATCTTTGTCTTTAAAAAGAAAAAGAAGAAGAGTAGAAAGTATTACCAAAGAATAAGAACATTGCTGTAACAAACATGGCCATGTGGTCCTCGGACCTTTGAACTGGCTTGTGAGGAGAATTCGAAAGAGTTTGAAACTGCAGGCTAGGGAACTCCTATGATGCTATAAACTGAATTCTCTGTTCCATTCTGGTGAGAGTTCGGAAGACCAGAATGCTGAGAGAAATGCAGACCACAGAGAATTGGCTCACGAGGTCTCAGAGACAAGGATTCTGTTGGGAACTAAGCTAGAGACCATTCTGTTACACTCTGGCAAGAATCTAACGGCATTCTACCATGTCCCAAGGATGTTCATGAAGCTGAATTCAGGAGGAAATGTCAAGACAGAGTAGCTTTCAGGCTAGGTCATGGTTTCTGCTCAGTGTTCTTGCGTGGGCCAGCATTGAGAGAGAACAACATGCAGATATGAAAAGTACACAGCTCAGTGGGGAAAGGTGCGTGGGTGAATTTAGTGTCACAGACAAGAGGGGGGTGAAAGAAGTTTCAGTAGCTGTAGAAATTTGTACCACTGCAGTTCATAGTGCTGAGATTGTTCGTGTGCATTACTATGCTCAACTCAACTCTTCCTCTCACCCAGTGGTCCAGGCTGGCCTTGAACTTGCCATACTACTGCCTCCTGGGTTAGGTGGGATTAGTAGTCTGTATTGTCAAACCCAACAGGAATTCCTTTTCTCCTATTAGTTTTTTTCCAAGACAGATTTTCTCTGTGTACCCCTGGCTGTCTTGGAACTCGTTTTGTAAACCAGGCTGGCCTTGAACTCACAGAGATCTGCCTGCCTCTGTCTCTAAATGCTGGAATTAAAGTCGTGTGCCACCATGCCCAGCAGGAAACAATGTTTTTAATGTTGCTCTTAAAAACAAAGCCAGTGCCGGGCAGTGGTGGCGCATGACTTTAATCCCAGCCCTTGGGAGGCAGAGGCAGACAGATTTCTGAGTTCAAGGCCAGCCTGGTCTACAGAGTGAGTTCCAGGACCACCAGGGCTACACAGAGAAACTCTGTCTCGAAAAAACAAACAAAAACAAAACAAAACCAAAAAACAAAACAAAACCAGCAAGGCAGGCGTTACTAGCCCACTTTGTATCTCAGAATTCTCTAAGCACCTCTTACTTGATGAGGAATTCCCTCATTTGATGACAAATGAAGAGATAAATATTGTGGGGCTTTGAGGACCAAATGCAGAAGAACATTCTAGGCAGGCTCACTCCCAGTAGAGGCTTACAAAGCAAGGAAAGCTTGAGGTGGTAACTTTTTCTCATGAATCCTTGCCATGTTTTCCTTTTCTCCCCACGGAGAGTGTGTGGATGTGATTCAGACAGTGAATCTGTCCCCAAGCCTGTACTTAGACGTCTGTTATTTGTGAAGGATTTTAGCTAAAAGCCAGAACAACAAAAACAGTCAAGAAAATGTACTCTGAACTCGATCTACCTGAGCCTTAACGCCTGTGTGTTCTTCTCCAGCCGTATGACCATGGCGATTGCTTCAACCTCTCTGAGGGTCACAGTTTTCATTTCTAGATTCTTCACCAAGGCACTTAAAGAATTACACAATTAATATGTGCGGAGATTTTTGTCATGCCCACAATTCAGAAGCATTCCGCACACGGTCATTTATATCACTATTGCTGCTTTTATGTGTGTTATAGAAATTATTCCATGATGGGCTAGGCTTAAGCAATGGGCCAAAAGACAAACTACGAGCAGCTAGTAGATTTGAAATTTTTGAAGCCCAGTCTCCCATGTCAGTCAGCAAAAATTCAGTTATGCTGAGTAACAAGCACACCCCAAAATGTAGTAGTGTAACACAATAAGTATTTTATTCTGTACATAAAATCCAGTACAGTTCCTTCCAGGCATCTGTAACTTATTTCAGGATTTCAATGATTTCACTCATTGTCATCAACAGGAAGGTCTGGACAGAAGAGACACACATCACCTCCTATAGTTCATTGGCCTCCACAGGCCTGTAGTGCCAGCTAAACCAAGGAAAAGAATGATCAGTTCTGCTGAGCACACATAACTTCAGAAAGATGAGGTATCAGTGAATATCAGACTTTGCCAAGTTTATCCCTTAATGAGAAGCTGTCCAGCTTCTCTCTGTTGTGGGAACACAGAAGGAGAGTCAGCTGCCGTCGCTGGAAATACCTGACATAAAGCCACCTTAAAAGAATGGAGAATTTTTGGTTTTGGTTTCTCCACTTGCAGCAGCATCTGCTGTCCCTCCCTCTTCCCCTCCCCATTCTTCTCTCCCTCTTCTCCCCAACCTCCAATTCTCTTCCATAAGTTTGAAAGGCTCCCTTGGCCAAGTGCATTTGGGCCTGTAGCAAAATAGACCATCATCACAGGAACCCATGAGGCAGGAAGCAACTCACCTCATTAGAGCAGGCTGTGGGGAGGGGAAGAAAACAAGCAGTTCCAATCTTACCTTTTTTTTTCTAAGTAATTTTTTTTATTGAAGTATGATTTTTTTTTGTTACATACAGTATATATCCTGATTATGGTTTCCCTGCCGTCTACTCCTCTGAGTCCCTCCCCACATCCCCTTCTATCTGGACCATCCCGCTTTCTGGAAAACAAACAGGCTTCTAAGGGATAATCATAGTATATAATAAGGGATAATCATAGTATATATACCAGAATAGGACTAAACAAAGAGAAGGAAAGGTGTCCAAGAAAAAGCACAAGAAACAGACGCAGATGCAGAGACCCACCTGTTTGCACATTCAGGAATCTGCTAAAAACACAAAACTGGAAGCATATGTGTGTGTGTGTGTGTGTGTGTGTGTGTGTATACACACACACACACACACACACACATATATATATGCATACATACACACACAAAGGACCTATAAGGTAAAAAAAAAAAGAGAGAGAGAGAAAAAGAAAGAAAACTAAATTAAAAAAAAGATAAATTTTAAAAAACTAAAGAGTCCTGGCATGACACAATGAGACAGGGAATCTCCAGAGAAGACATTGAGTTCACTTTCTGTTGGGCGTCCAGTGCTGGGCCTGCAGCCCACCCTTCAGAGTAGCTTGTTTCCCCAGTGAGACTCCCTTGGAGAAAACTAATTTGTCATTTATAGGTGGTTATCAATTGGAGATGGTTTCTGGGTTAGGGATGGCGGCAGGTATCCACTTCTCTCGGCTCTAGGATCCATCAAGTGCAGACTTGAGAAGTCCCTGGGCATGCTGCCTCAGTGTCTGTGAGTTCCCATCCACATCCATCCAGCTGTGTCTAGAACACCATGTCTCCTTGGCGGTGTCAACCATCCAGGTCTTTTTTTTTTGGTTTTTTGAGACAGGGTTTCTCTGTGTAGCCTTGGCTGTCCTGGAATTCACTCTGTAGACCAGTCTGGCCTCGAACTCAGAAATCCGCCTGCCTCTGCCTCCCAAGTGCTGGGATTAAAGGCGTGCGCCACCACTGCCCGGCTATAACCATCCAGGTCTTACACTCTTTTTGCCTCCTCTTCTGCCAAATTCCCTGTGTCCTGAGGGGAGGGATGGATTTGATAGAGATTAATATTCTCTTGAAGGGCACACCCCTAGTGACCCAACCCCTTCCACTAGGTCCCACCAATTCCTCATAGCAACCACCAAGCTGGTGGATCAAGCTTTCAACACAGCAAACCCTTCCGTCCAGAGCCAAACAATAGCTAAGCTTCCTGTGAATCAGGTTGTCCTATAGGGATCTCAAGCCATCCCAGCGGAGGCCAAGGCCTCTCACCCTCCACCTAGGGCTCTCTTCTCTTACCCATCACCAGATCCAGGACCTCACCTGTCCACTCCCTGAGCTTGCTTGATGTCTCAGTTTGGAAGCAGAGCTCCTGCAGCCACTACCCAGGAAGGCTCTGGCCCCCCAAATATTTAGTTAGCAGTGATTCCGCTAAGTGGAATTGACTTTTTATCGGCTTTGCTCTGCACAGCTGCCACCAGCGAAGGCCGTTTCCTTCTTCCCTCTTCTCCGCCTGTCAGTTTGTTCCACATTCCTATGGGCAGCCTTTGGCTCTGATCAATACTAACCGCTGTGTAACAGCTCACGCACGGCTGCTCTGGTTGGCATCGATCAGACCTTTCTTCCAACAGGTAGTTGGCTGTTTGAGGCAATGACTTGAGATAAACACCTACTTTTACTTCAGGCTAATTCATGTCGGGTGGATTTCGAGAAGGCTCTGCACCCGGTCCCTTAGACAAGCTGAAAGCCAGACATCGAGATGGACTCCTCTGGAGTTTAAGATCCTAGGAGACCTTTCTTGCTCACACACTCCAACCCCCTTTTTTCTCCAGGCTTTGTATTTTGTTAGAGCCACTTATGAGAAAGATAGCAGGACTTGGGACATTGGGGGAAAAAAAGCCACTTCAGGAAATGTGTCAGCCATCCATCCCTCTCTTTTTAAGGAGATGCATCCTGTGGGAAACAGGGCAGCTAGAGAGGCAGCGTTACCACAGGGTAACAGAGCTGACTTCCGGCTTCCCCAGGATGAGCCTCCAGCATCCTAAAACCCTGATCTTCAGTACACAGGGGAAGTGGGGGAGGGGGCATGGAATCCACACCTATGCAGTTACAGGCTCCCAAGTGAATTTGCCCAGGAGCAAATCTGGTGAAATGGACCAGCATTGTACAGCACAATGTGGTGTGGGTGGGTGGGGCCGTCGCATGTTATCTGCTTTGTAACTAGAAAACACATACCTCCCCATCCCTAACACCAACATGCCCAGTGAAGATGGCTAAGTGTTACACTTGAGGCCTTCACTTGCCCGTTATGTGGGTCCCAAACTACTTGATCTTTTTTTCTTTGTTCAGCCATCCTGGACCCATTTGCCTCATCAGGTCCAAGTCCCCAGAAGCTTTTGTACTGAAATTCCAGTGTCCCGTCCTCCATCTCACTCAAGACCTCTTGGTCCGGTGCAGCATCCTCTGACTAATTGCCTGGCTTGCAAACTCTCCATGCTTTCTTATTTTCACTCTGCACACAGGTTAATTTCCCAGAACTCTTCTGGGAATGCCTTTCCTCTGATCTCCCAAGTGACTCCACCACTCGCCAGAAAGGGGGCCAAATTTCTCAGCCTACCAATTGGCTTTCAGCTCCTTCTATAAGGTATCCTGGTATCGCTCCACTCCCCAGCACGAGCCCTGTGCTCCCCCCACCCACCTGATTAGCTGTTTCCTCTATATTTGTTCCAGCCTTTTATCTGGGGCGGGGAGAGGGGGAGTGCCTCGATGCCTTTAAGATCAGCCTGCCTAGGCTACCTGTTAGCTGTGCAGCTTCAGCCAAGTGAGCCAGCCTCTCCCTGCCTCAGTTCCTCCTCAATTAAACGGAGACAAGAACAGTACCCGGTTAGGAGTGGTGGCACACAGAGTTAATCCCAGTACACAGAAGGCAGAGATTGGTGGACCTCTGTGAGTTCAAGGCTAGCCAGGTCTATATCTATCAAGTACCAGACCAGTTGGGGCTACATAGCCCCATAGCAAGATGCTGTCTTGAAAGAAGAAAGTAGGAGAAGGAAAAAGGATGAGGAGGAAGAGGAGGAGGATGAGGAAGAGGAGGAGGAAGGAGAGGAGGAGGAAGAGGAGTGCCTGTTACAGGTCGGACATGAGAATTAAAAACTGAATGTGCATGAGCTCTTTGGAGTGGTGCCTGGCACAATCTATTCCATGGCTTTGCTCTTTCTTCTATTATGTTCCTCACTGTGAGTCAACGCTGAGCACACAAATTCTCCAAGGATGGTCCGTTGTTGCTCTACTCATTTATGTATATATGTATATGTTTTCCTTTGTCATTCAGAACCATAGATTGTTTTTACTACTATTACTACAATTTTAGTAAGTGCTGCTGTGCTCTGTGTGTGTGTGTGTTTATGTGGTATGTGTGTGTATGTATGCATGTATGTATGTATTGTGTAGTGTGTATATATGCATGTATATTTTTATGTATGTGTGGTATGTGTGCATTTGTGTGGTATGTGTGTGTGGTATTTATATGTGTGTGGTATGTGTCTATATGTATGTGTGGTGTGTATGTTTGTATGTGTGTGTACTGTGTATGTATGTTTGTGTATATGCTTATATGTGTATATATGCATGTGTGGTGTGTGTGTATGTATGTATGTATGTGTATGTTTATATATGTATATATGTATATGTATATATATATGGTGCATGTGTATCTATGTGTGTTCGTGGTGTGTGTACGTGTGTGTGTATGCAGATACGCATGCTCAGAAGCCAGAGGGAAATGAATGTCAGGTGTCCTCTTCTGACCAGGCCAGCCCAGTCAGTCAACAGGTTCTCCAGCACAGGAGTGAGGATTAAAAAGGAAAAAGACGATTAGACAACACTGTAGAATGCCCGAAGCCAATTCTGAAAATGAAGGCGGCTTTATTTTTTTCCCAATTTGCTTTTATATCATTTTAATTACATGCATGTATTTAGGTGAGTTCTAGGTTGAGGAATTAGTAATACAATAAATGCAAATAGTCAAGTAACAAGCCAGGCAACTAGCAAAGTCACGTGACCACTCCCATAATCAAAGTTTCTAAGAGCTTATCAGGATGACCAAAATATCTGAGTCTACTTCCCTGTCCTAGCCCACAGTCATATTCATGCCTGAAGCCTACTTCTTTGTTCTAGCCTAAGATTTAGATTCCTGACTGAACTTACTTCCCTGTCATGGCCCAATGTCAGATTCCTGCCAAGCAGCCCCAAAAGCTCTCCACACTCCTCTATCACTCTCCACTCTTGACCTCATTCCCTTGAAACAGGGTTAAACCTGGACTTTGCTGTTTTTCAACTAAGTTGGCAGTGGCAAGTCCCAGTAATCCCCCGCCTCTATTCCCCTGTGTTGGCGTTACAGGTGTGCGTGCGGTCATGCCTCGCTTTTTATATGTGTGTTGGGGATCCAAACTCAGATCCCTAGACTCACGCAGCAAACACTCTCACCCACTGAGCCATCCCCCTAGCCCGCTTTACTGGATTGAAATGCTCTGATTACCTCCCATTTGCCCCAGATCTCCTTTCCCTTACCCTCTGCCTCGCCCTTTGTCACAAGAGGGTGGCCTCTCTGTCCAGTGATCTCCAGTTGGATTTGGCTAGTGAGGCAGGAAGAAGAAATGAGGTCAGAGGTGGCTCTCTCAGTACAAGGTCAGGGCTCCTGCCAAACAGCCTCTTTACCCCCATCTACTCTGTCCACAGCGTCTGGCAGTAGTGTGTCCTCAGTTTAAGTTGGGTGAGAACATGACCCAGAGACCTGCACTCTTTCTGTGGCCTCCTGCACCCTGGCCACACCTTATTAGGGATCCTTCATCCCTGGATGACCTCTGCTCAAAGCACACCAGTCTACACTGGCTGACACAGTTTTTCTTACAGACCTATAAAGAATGTGGTGTTACGTCACCAAAGATGCGCAAGGTCTCCCCAGCCAAGTGCTGGGGCCATATCTACTGGGCTCCGACGTCCACGTTTGTGACCACTGCACACTACTATAATGAACCCTGAGCTTTGTGGGATGGAGACCTTGTGACAAATTAGGTTACAAAGGTAGAGCCCTCATGAATGAGATTAGTGCCCTTATTTAAAACAAAAAGCAAAACAAACAAACAAAGCAGAGAACAGTTTGTTCCTTCTGCCACAAGATAATACGATAAGAAGACAATGTTGTGGTAGAAGCTGGTAGATCTCTCAGTTCAAGGCCAACCTCTGCTACAGATTGAGTTTCAGGCTAGTCAAGGATATAGAGTGAGATCCTATCTTGAAGAAGGAGAGGAGAAAGGGGGGAAGGAGAGGAGGAGGACAAGATGGCAGAGGAAGGCATCACCTATAGAATAGGAAAGAAGCCTTCACTAGATACCAAATCTGCCCAAGGCCAAACAGAATAAACATTCAATTAAAGAATTCCTAGCCAGCCGCTTGGTTCAGTGGGTGTGGTTGTTTGAATACGAATGGCCCCATAGGCTCATAGATTCGAATGCTTAGTCACCAGTGAGTGGTACTATTTGAAAGAATTAGGTAGTGTGTAACCTTGTGTCACCTTGGGTGTGCTCTGGAGTGTCAAGAGCCCAAGCCTGGCTCTGTGTCTTTATCTTCCGGCTGCCTGCAGATCCAGATGTAGAACTCTCAGCTACTTCTGCCTGCATGTGCGCTCTGCCTTGACATTAATGGTCTAACCCTTTAAAACTGTAAGCCATGCCCAGTTAAATCATTTTCCTTTGTAAGAATTGTGTTGGTCACAGTGTCTCTTCACAGAACACTGGCTAGGACAGTTGGTAAAGATATTTATCCCCCAAGCCTGATGACCTAAGTTTGCTCCCTGAACCCACATGGTAGAGAAGAGAGCCAGCTCCCAAAAGTTCCTCCCTAACTTCCAAACATACTCTGTGGTGCACACTCACATATACACCCTGAATGAATGAACATAATTTTCACAAAAAAAAAAAGTTAGAGAAAATTATTTGTATGGACAAATGTACACACAAAGAGAAGTGGA